AACACAAACGTGTGTTTATTTAATATTTTTTTGTGTTGAAACACGTATTATTTTAAAGGGAAATATAAACATTTAGTCTGGTCGGGTTACTAACTCTGACTATTGTTTCCTGAATAAAATATTATTTACTTCAGATATACCTCTTATGTTTTGGTGTCATGTGACACCAGATGTTGTTATCAACCAATACTCCTGTATAGAAATATGAAACATCAATGCTTGAGAATGCTAGTGAATAACCAATTTCGATTTGCCAACAAAACAAATTCCTGACAACGTTGACAATAGCGGTAAGAATATATTCATGGATCAGTGATGACCCAGTTGTTTGCAAAAATGAAGCTGTTGCCTCAGGTGAATAGATGAAGTTATGCCGAAACAGTAAGCTCTTAGAACTCTTGTTTGCCAGCTGGGACCATGTCAATACATCTTGTATGAAATGTATGTACATGTTGAACGCATTGACAATTGGCACAAAAGCACGAGAACGCGAGATCGCGACATTGGTCAAGGGTCGCAATCTCGCGATCTCGCGTTCTCGTGCTTTTGTGTCAATTGCCTTTTCAGTCATATGCAACTCTTTTCAAAAACGCGAGAACGCGAGTTTGCGACACTTGACCAATGTCGCCATCTCGCGATCTTGTGCTTTTGTGTCAATTGCTTATACAGTTAGGAGAACGCGAGATTGCGAAACTTGATCAATGTCGCGATCTCGCGTTCTCGCGTTTTTCTGCCAATTACCTGGACAGTGACCTAGTGGCTCAGTCCTCTGAGGCGTCGCAATTCGCTGTGTACGTAAAGTTGCGTCCCTTGGGCGTGCCAGAAACCTATGATGGCGGGTTTCATCCCATTTGAAGCTGACAAGCCAGGGAATAACTGAGATATAAATACTGTTCAAAGCGGTGTTAAGCCAAACTCACTCACTTATTCAGAGCCATGCCGGTCCCTCAGGCTGGATATTGGGGGTTCTTACTCAGTATAAAGATGTTATTGTTTTCTTGTCGAACTATTTAAGGCATCTGTGTACAATTGCTGTCGAAGGATGCGATTCACATGCAACATGCGTGTTCATTGGGGCTACGTGCACGGAGTAGGAACACACATATTAGCGATATTTCTATTCTAGGAAGTTTGAGGCAATAGAATAATGTAAGGCGGGATGTTTTGTAGTTAGGTGGGAAAGGATGATAATCTATAAATTAATTTTGTATGGCCTAAAGTAGCGACTATGGTGTCGTGTAAAAACATCGGACAAGCTCATTTTAGCAGAATGCTACAAATTGGTCTTGGAGAATTTTGTTTTAATGAATAATAATGTGATTATTTCTGTAACTGATACAGCAATACTACTGATGTGGCTTTAAGCAATATTTACTCTATCACTGACAGTGATATATATTGTTTCCAGCTTCCTAACACTTTAATGTTTTCACTATCCATGAACATTCATGTACACAATTTCTTTTGTTAAATTATGTTTAGCATGTTGAGGGTTTTAAATTAAAGTACATAGAAAACAGCACCAAAGGGAGAGGAGTCTACTCTTCTCTACATGGGTCTTTGTGTATGTAAATTACATGATAGCATTTTCAAGCTCAAGTCATACATTTTCTAAATGCTACTTGGAGAATGAAGAGCATGATAGAAGCATGACCACTGTGCAGGACTACTAATGTGCACATGCGCCTTGACCTTATGATATCACGCATGCGCACGGACAGCGTCTAAAATTAGAATGAATGAATGACCCATTAAACGATGATACACATCAGGATCGCGGAGAAAATACAAGATTCGTTCTCGTTGATTACATATATCAAGGCACCAATTCATCTTTCATAAACTGTTTATGTCTTTGTGCTTAATATATCCACATATCAACGAAAATATGTAATACATGTATCCACAAAAAATATACATGTACAGGCTAGATATTTGCCCACAGCAACACCTGCATAACTGTTTTTTGACGTGTGGTGTGGCAGATTGTAATTGACCGAGAGCAAGTATTGTAGAATCACCTGTAAATAAGGCCGACACTGTAATTAGACACAACGTACTAATGAGAATATGAGAATTATCATAAGAAGGCTGTTGCGTTTTTCTTAACTATTACCATTTTCATACCAAAAGTGACAATGCAGTAAAAGTTGTTTTAGTGTCACAATATTCACTCACGTTTTCCTCAATCGCATTGAAACATAATTCCCACTGGTCGCATGTAATTAAATAATTATTTCGAGATTTCGTTAGAATGTGAGATATTCAGCCAAACGTTATGCAATAAAAGACGAATAGTTTTTCCATTAAAATACGCGCACTCGTTACTGTATATTGCATACCTAGTGCCACGTAATTGCCCAGTGTGATGTATCAACGGGACATGAAATGGGAAATTTTCTAAATTCTACTTGGAGAATGAAGAGCACGATAGAAGCATGACCACTGTGCAGGACTACTAATGTGCGCATGCGCCTTGACCTTATGATATCACGCATGCGCACGGACAGCGTCTAAAAAACTAGAACACGAGAACGCGAGATCGCGAGAAAATAAATTTTTCATCATGTCCAAATGTCGCATTCTCGCGTTGTCGATTTTTGACAAAAAGTGTTATGTATCAAAAACACGCATTCTCGTGTTTTTGGCATATTTAGCTCGTTTCCAAAGGTCGAGATCGCGAGAATGCGAGATCGCGAGAATGCGAGATCGCGAGAATGTCCCTGTCAGTATTACTAACTACCTGTAGGAACATATTGTTTATACTCGTCCATGTTTAATATATATAATTTACATGTTCGGTAATAGTGAGGACGGGCATCATTGTGTGTTTCCGTGCTTTGTTCAGGTAAACAATTGACTTGTCCTTGCATGTGTTTGTGATGGATGCCACCCGTCTGGCAGAGTACGCTCACCTTTTCGCGAACACCCGTTGGATGGCCTGAACCACTTCGGATTTTTATCCCACATCAGTCTGATACACCGTGATATAACTGAAATACTTTTCAAAGTGGTGTTTAATGCGATCACCGTAGTGTGTTACTGCAACTTTCCAAATTTTGTGTAGTGATGTTATGTAATATGTAAAATAAAGCATATTCAATTATCCAATTGATTAGAATATACTCGCGTCAGTGTATTTTATGAACTCCCAAAACCGTGCTCAGAAATACGAAACCTAAAGCTTCCGAAAGGAAGCCTTCTGCATCACGTGCGTCGGGAGACCAGCGCCATCTGATTGGCCGTTAACAGTTGTACAAGGCGGAGCAAAAAGCATCGTTTATCCGTCCATTTTACGCTTGAAAAACTCGACGCTTTTCCGGACACTTTCTAGACGCTAACCAATTAATCAATTTTAATGAATTTTTAGTCGTTTTTCCGTCCAATGACCATATACGAAAAAAAACGACGTTTTCTTGTTTGCGGTGTATCGCCTCACAACATACTTTTAATGAATGACCCATTAAACGATAGTAGTCGTACGCCTTACGTCAGAACCGCTGCTCGCTTCTGATTGGTCGAGAGGATCACGTGACCTCTGTGACGTCACATCCGGTCACGTGACCTGCGCATGCGCGCGGGGCATGATGGGACTTGCGTGCGCATCCAAGATGGCGGCACATCCGTTTCCGGTGGCGCGCGCCTCCAAGATGGCGTCGCATCCGTGTCCGGTGGCGTGCGCCTCCAAGATGGCGTCGCATCCGTGTCCGGTGGCGTGCGCCTCCAAGATGGCGTCGCATCCGTGTCCGGTGGCGTGCGCCTTCAAGATGGCGTCGCATCCGTGTCCGGTGGCGTGCGCCTTCAAGAGGGCGTCGCCTCCGTTTCCGGGGAGGATGGGGGAAAACCCGGAGAAGCGTACGTAAAAGGTGAACAGGATCGACATTGAAAGAAGCGCGTCAAAAATCTTTTGTTGTTGTTGTTGTTCTACACATAGACGTGGGGGTGGTGGTGGTGGTGGTGAAGGGAGGGTGGTGGTGAAGGGAAGGAGGGAGGAGGCGGGGGTGGGTTCACGGTGTGGGGGTTGGAGGGTCGTCAAAGCAAAGGAGGATAGTTGTTTTTTGGTGAGATGGCGATCCTGTTTTGTTTTTTCTTCATCCTACAGACAACACAACACGACTATGGGTTCAACTTTTTTTAATCCCCCGCTCACATGAACCAACACAACAAAACAAAAGTCACAGGATTAGGGGCGTCCCTGTGACTTTTGTGAACATGAACGTATGTACACGTATGTGAAAAAAAGAACTTTTGCCACTTTGATAGTGAACGTATGTACATTCCTAAAACGCAGTGAACGTATGTACACTCCTCAATCAGGAATGTTGACAGTCAGGTGATCGTAGGTTCAGTGAACAAGTGTCAGGTCAATAAGGGCAGAAAGGTTGGTTCTTTTGATGCAGGGTACGCGTCTGGGCACTCAGTCGAAAGGCAGGCATCTCATCCACAGGAACGTAGGTAGACACTTTGGTATGAAACCATTCTAATACCGTGGCATCATTCTTGGTTGGCGGTGTCCTTCCAGTCCAACGTATCTAACACTTGATTAAAAGTCCACCCACGCACGCGATAGGTCAGCATGTAGAGACAGTACACGCCACACAACGTGCTGTATCCATGTTGTAAGTGGCGTGTATTCCATCGTTGTTGAATTTGACCCATGCGATTCAAAGTCTCTTTAAACAGGGGTAATGAATACAGTCCATAGCTATCCATCATTTCCACGGATCCAGGAGCTGGACGATAGATGCTAACCCAGTGTGTGCCAGGTTGATCGCTTAAATCTGTGTTGATCACGTAGGCTTTGGGGTAAAAGGGGTCATCCCTTTGCCATCCCAGTCTGGCAAAGTCATCTCTGGCCAGGGTGCCCCGGTAGATGGCATGAAGTGGTTCGTCATCAGCCACGAGGGCTTCTAAATCCAAGGTGCTCAACCCGAGTGGTTCATCCATGTTTCCTTGTAGGAGGAGAAAAAGTGTGGCATGACCGTCTGTCACTGCTCTTTTTATACCATCATCGCATTCCGGAAACGATCTATTTCCAGAACATTTTCGTATTCCTCATAGCAGATGAGGGTGACTGGGTCCTCGAGAGCTTGTCCAAACTGGATTTCCAAACCCAACTTGCCAGTGTGTCGAGGGTAGTTGATGCCTTCATCAGCGCCAAGGTCTGGGGTGAGATCCACCACCCACAAGGTGTAACCTTGAGTAAAGGCCTTGGGAGTCAGTTCGGAGGTCTCAGGTCGCAATAGCTGTCCCGTGTTTCGGAACAGATTCATGTAGACTTGTTTCAAATGGGCGCTGTTATTGCTGAAGTCGCTTTTCATTTCCATGCCATGGACTTCCTGGCCGTTGACTTTGAGCTTCATCATGGTGACATGATTGTGTTTGAAGTTGTACGTATTCTTCTCTTTGCTTCCTACGTAGGCACTATTGTCCACCAGTCCCAGGACCACGCGTTTTGGTAATTGGCCACCGATGAGGTGATCCTTGTGAAAGACCCTACCGCCTCTTGGGATGTCATGGGCAGTCACATGCACACGTGAAAGGGGATACTTGGCAGTCACCCCAGCGTTCAGACTGGACACGTGTGTTTCTCGGACAGCAGGATCGATGTTGAGCTGACGGACATAGAATTCGGCTTTGTAGACACCATCAGCAGCACACATGAAGAAGAACTCATCGGGACTTCGTAGCAATTCCAGTTTCATAGGGACACCATCCAGCAGATTACGGTCTTGAAGAAACAGGTCACAGTGTAGACGGCCTGTAAGTTCCACTTCTCTGGTGGGTACGATAAGATCGCGTCGCGTTCTGACAACTGTGTTTCTTGTGTTCGCATCTGCATCAGGATTGAAGACGTCCATTTTACCAGCATCGTCGGTGAACCATCCAGGACATCAAAGGTGAGATGTTTTGGCTCCTGTACCATAACTCAAAAGGGTTTCCAAGTAAGCTCTGTAAGGGTAAGTGCCCATGGAGGGTGTGATCTCCAACTGATTGTGTCCCACTTGCAGCCGCACTTCGCGAAACAGGGAATGCATCACATTGTTGACTGTCGATACAGGGTTATCCGCTAGAACGGTATCCGTGCCATCATCTTTCGTCACACGTAGACATACTCTCAGGTAGCACTGTTTGAAATCAATGTAAGCGTTCATGGGATTGGAAATGTTAAACTGGAGTGGTCCTGCTACAGAGGGTGGTGCCAAGGGACTATAGCGAATCCACTGACCCTCTTGCACAGAGGTGGACACAGGGGGTACAGTAAAGAGATCCAACTGGGCCTTTGAACATTCACAAGCATCTCGGCACATCATGATGATGGATGTTTCACCCTTTTCTCTGCCTTGAAGGACGTCTGGTCAGGTTGAAAGTCTGATGAGGACTGACCTTTAAACCCTTTTTCTTTTCCTTTTACGCTGTTTCTGGTGGGTGGTGGTGGTTGGGACGACTTTACGGCTTTTAGGGGGTCTCGGCTCCTCACGTTCCTCCAAGACATCCATCAGGGCTGCTGTGCCGCGATGTTTCAGACTCTCTGACCATTTTCGTTTGCCTCCAACCACATCACTCACCAACCCAGGCAGGATCTTTTTACCCATCTTGAGCACCAATGTTCCAGCAGATTTAAGGAAAGGCAACGCCATCTTCAAGATACCTCCAAGACCACTGCCACGTTGATGATAACGTCCTTTGTATACTTTGATACCACTCCCACGCTGGCCCGAACTGTCCTCGATTCATCTGGTGTGCCAATGCGTGTCTCAACATGTTGCTTTCTGCGTTAGTAGCGGTGTCTGAAGTGAAGTGTCACGAAGGCTTTCCCTATTTGAAATGGCACGGGTCGCCCTGTGTCGTCCATAATATAGAGTTTAATACTGTCAAAGGAACTATGACGCAACCCAAGGTAGTGAATGTGCTGAGGGCTTTTAATCACCACACTGTCTTGCATCATCTTCTTTGACACAGGCACATAGATCAGCAAGGGAGCCATCGTATTGACCACAATTTGATCTTCGACCAGGTTGGTGTAAATGTACACAGTATCAAATCCTGACAGACGATGTGCTTTTGTGTCACCTGTGATTTCCACATAGCCACCGGTCATGGGAGTAGCCCCCACTTGCCAATGGGCCAAGGCAGTCAAGGGAACGGGCGTCTCTGTGTAGGTTTTATAGTCCTCCTCACCGAGGAGCGGTAGTTGAACAAATCCGAGCATTCTCGAGAGTGGACTTGGCATGATCACTTCCGTGGAATAGAGTGGTCCACCAGTATTTCCCATGAGAGGATGATTGATTGCTACTTCTTGAGGGGCTTGGAATCGCACCTTTCCATCTTCAAGCATGTCAAATCGAAGACTATCTGCGGGATACTTGACATCAATGACAAACCGTCTCCCATCACTTTGGACGCTGTCTGAGGGCTGTTCTTTCAAGACATCCATAATATGTTCCTGAATCAAATGGTTGAGGGTTTTCACCAAATCTTCAGATGAATAGACGCCTTTCTCGATAGGAATCTTCTTGCTTTCATAATGGACGACACCAGACTGTGGGTGTGGTATAGCGCTCCCCGCGCTTTCATACACAAGGGTGTCTTTTTTCAGTTTGAGGTTCAGCGCAAACCAGTCAAAGGGTGGGGCGACGTTGTACCATGTCATCGGAAAGTGAACTTCGCTGACGCCCACCTCCCACTGTTGACGGTCCAGATGCAGAGGATAAGGCAACTTGATTTCATACGCATTGTCGGTGTTGTTTGGATAGATGTCCATGGAGGCATCACTGGGCAGGGTCATGTAAAAGTCTTGTTTCGAAAAAAAGGTGGCACCGTGAGTTAGGGAAGAAAACTCTGGGTGGATGAGGTATCAAGTTGAAGTCTTCTGGTGGACGGGGTCGTCGTGGGTATGCCTGGTGAGGCGGCCAAGGAGGGTGGTGGAAGTATGTATCCCAAACAACTGGTGAGCAGGGCTGTCCACAACTGTTTCTCTCCATGATCCAAGGCCAACTGTACCATGCTCATGATGATCACGCCATATATCACAATGATCTGAGCAAAAAACACGACTTCACTGCGGGGTAACGTCATGCCAAAACAACACCAAGGTGAGTGTCGGCGCTGGTGATGACGAGGTGCAGCAGCAAGGGGTGGTTCATCGGTACCCACAGATGCTGAGAGGCTTCTCTGCAGAGGTGATGACGGTGGTGGTGGTGGTGGTGGCGGTTCTGTCATCGCGTGTGTCCACCCTCTGAATGAGTCTGAGAGACAGCATGCTCCTTATTTTTTATCTGTATATGATCTGCAGGGATCCACGAATTAAAACTGGCAAGGTAGCCAGTCCATTTCACCAAGACCTCTTCTTGACCCTGTTTCGGTCCTGGACGTCTTTTCAGCACGCGATCCACGGCATACACATCGTCTGTTTTCAAGATGGGTTGTATTTCTTCAGGGTAAAAAGTTCCTTGGAGGACTTCACCATGATCATCTTTGATCCGATACACAGGAGGTGTTCTCCCAGTCACCAACCGATCCACCGTAAACAGTTCAGTGGTCCAATTGGGGAGATAACCTTTCTCAAAGGTGCCTTTGGTTTTGTTCATGGGTGCCCGGCAGTAAAAGAGAGGGGGATCTTGTCTTGGGGGACGACAGTCTTTGTGTTGTTATTTTCTTTTTGCCTAGCCGTTGTTGTTGTTGTTTTTCCTCCATGTAGTCTAACACCCGAATTTCTGACAGGGGATCTCCTGGGAGGACGTCCACAGGTCGCTGGCCAATGGTCCGATGCACACGACGGTTGTATGACTTGATCAACTGGGGTAAGACTTTCAAATAGTGTCTGGTCCCATGCTGTGTAAAGTATCGCCACATTTTATTTTTCCGAGTCCTTTGAAACCGTTCCACCACGGCTGCTTTCGTTTCAGGATTTTGACTGGTGTAGAAATGAATGCCATGTTTCATCATGAGAGCCTGGAAAGGACGGTTGACAAATTCTCTGCCTTTGTCTGTTTGCAATTGAGCAGGGAGTCGACCTTTGGCTTGTTGCATCAGCAAGGTTTGAAAACCTTCGGTCAAAGCAGAACTGCTCTTGGCCTTCAGGGGTTGCACCCATGCCATCTTTGAAAACACATCGATCACGCACAGCAGATATTTGAATCCTTCGTTGTCGTCTTGAAAGGCAATCATGTCACTCAAGTCTGCTTGCCACAGTTCATCGACCCCTCACACACGATAGTGGTCTCTCGGAAAAGAGCGTCTGGCTGGTTTGTGCAAGGTGTAGGTACTTTTGGTTTGCAACCAACGCTTGATTTGACTTTGCGATGGCATGGTTTTCTTCTTGCTTTTACTGGTTCTTGCATCTTGAGCGTGGATGCGTGCTGCTTTCCACAAAGGTCGCCAGCCTCCAAAACTTGCAGGATGTTCAGGATGAAAGTAAGTTTTTTCCAACCAGGCCGTCCAAAGGGAAGTAGGAAATCCTTTGTTTTGTTTCCCTGCAGCATCAGCAGAGGGAAGAATGTGCTGTCCCGTCTTGGTCTGTCGCTTCATTTCTCTCAGACTGATGCCACTTCCTACATGAATGGCCTTTTTATAGAGAAGGGGAGAGATTTATTTTTTCTTAGGTGGTGCTAAAGGGTATCCATGAACCTCGCCTGTTGATGACTCTGTCCTGTTTGGTATCAGATGGAGGTGGAGTCATCAACCATGGGGTTGACATCACATCTTTTTCTTCCTCCACTGGTGGATCCAGTTGCCACGAAGGAGGTGGGGGTGGCATCTCATCTTCTTCTTCTTCTTCTTCCGCTTGTGGATCCAGCTGCCGCCTCCTCCTTCTTCTTCTTCTCTCTTTGTGACTTTGCGGGGAGAACGTTGGGAGAGAGAACTGGGTTATGGGTGTTTCTGGTGTGGCATGAGGATGGTGTTGCTGCTGCTGCTGCTTCTGCATCCATTGCCATCGTTGAGGATTTCCAATTATTTCATGAGGGACATGACTGTTGGCCAAATGGTGACACAAAATGGTCCAACCTGCAGGTCCCTCTTTGGTTTTCCGGTGACGCACTAAATCGTTGATCAAGTCCACCATGTGTGTGCCAGGGACAGGTTTCCCTTCCACGGTCAGGGTTCCCTCTGGAGTCCAACTCAAGTCGGGATTGTTTTGAATCCTTGTCATCAAATTCATGGCTTTACTGGACATGGCTTTAGGAACACTCATGACCACTTCGTCTATCACTTGTTGAGGAGGGGCAGGTCTACCTGTGGTGTCCATTGTTGATGGTGATGACGGTGGTAGTGGTGGTGTCACTTTGGGTTGTAGTGGTTTGATGGTGTTGTTGTTGCTGTTGTTGTTGTTGTGCTGTTGGCGCTGCAACTCTAGCATGTGTTGCAACAGTTGGTTGTATTCTTGTTCCCGCATGTGAAAAGGCTACTGTGACCTCTGCATCAACGCGTCCATCTCTTCCAAATTTTGGAGACGTTTCTTTCCCAAGAGAGGGGTATGAAGTGTCTGACGATGACATTGTTTGGTGGCCTGTAGACTTTGCCATGTGTCTTCAGACACCAACACCATCTTGCGTGCGTACTTCATGGTGGCACACCACACACTGATCCCAACCTTCCTGGTGTCAGACCATTTATTACTTTCCTCCAAACAAAGAGGCTAGGGCAGAACTAATAAGAGGTATGAGTCCTCCTTATAATCCTCCTCCATGTTGAAGAAGTTTACGTTTCTTGCTTAGAGGTACTTGTTTTTTCATGAGCGTATTCAAGACTTTACCGTGTCGTTGCAAGTTTTGACGTTGCATCGTGGTCATGGGAATATTGCCTGCATACAAGTTCACCACACATTCACAAAGGGCACGGATGAGATCAGTAGGAGCAT